TGGCGAGAGGTTGCAGCCCCCCGCCCGGGTGCCACAGGAGGTTGGTTGCTGCCATCCACCCCCAGTTCCCTTCACCTGCTCCATTATCCCACCGCGGTCCTGCTCTTGCTGGGGTCTGTCGGGCCCGCAGTGCCTCCACTGCTGCCTGCTGCCAGTGCTGCCCTGCTGATGCCCTCCATGTTCCGCGTGTCCCCCTGGTGGTCAGGGCATGTCATAGTGAGCGGTCGAACTCCCTGTCTCCAGGTCGAACGACTGCCTGAGGGACAATTTGCATATTAGGCTTTTATTATATAGGATAGTTTCTTATGTGTTAGAGGGGTGACATTAACTTGTCCAGGACTGAGCCCCTCGAGGCAGTCTGCTCAGAAAAGGGCTGGGCCTCTTGCAAAGTGCTGCCCAAACTGGCTGTGACCCAGTAGAGGAAACAATCCTGGTCAACCACAAAGCTTGGACTCCCATCCCTAATTATGCCAGAGATGGGTCTGCTGATTTCCAGGCCATACACACTGATGTGGCAAATCCTGCTACTGTACTTTCCCATCTCACAGTTATATCATGAAGGCTGAGAACCTAGCTCTTAGATCATGCGAAGCAGGGGAGTTACCCCAACCATGAGTATCAAACTAACCGGATAGGGATATAAACAGGGTCCTGAAGCATTATATGAAAGACTTTACACATCACATTGTGATGGTTGCCCTGCCTCTGATCACACAGGCGAAGGCCAGTGCTTTCCTAATCATGGGGCTTAAAAGCCCCAAGCACGGCGATGCCATTCTGAATATCTGACATCTCACCCTTCCAGATTGCTGTGCACGTCCATAGTGTCATGATTAGTAGGGGACATGCACACTTAATGATGTTGTTACCATGTGCTTTCTCTGATGAATGCTGTTCCAGTAATCTTGTATGAGTGCTGCTTGGCCATTTTCTTTTTTTTTTCCTCTTCTTTTTCTGCCTCGATGTTGCATTCAGAGTGCTGTTTATCAGACCTTCTTTCATTTATTAAAAACTTTGCATCTGTATTTAATCTATTAATCTACTCTTTATTTTTAGTGACTGCATTTTTCATTTGAGAATATGTTTGGTTATTTTTTTAATTCAAAGGCTGCTAATTCTTTTTATATACTGGTTCTATTTTTTCAACATGTTTTCATTTCCTCCTTTTATGTCCTTCATAATTTCAAATTTATTTCAGTCTGCTTTGGATTGTTCTATTATTCCAACTATTATTTATGAAGTGTGGAATAAATTGGTCACTGAAATTATTGGATTTTTCATTGTGTAATTTTTAATTATACACACACACACACACACACATACACACACAAGGGTGGAAAGACCTATGAGCCCCACAGAGCAGTTGAGTAGTTTCAAATTTACTTCTGCTGGAGCCCTTGGCATTTCAATGAATTTGGACTAGGTTTTATATTAACTTCACGGCTTTGGATTCCACCACCTTGTGTGTAGTATAACTTTACAACTCAAAACAGAGTCTGGCACAAGGTTGGTGTTTTAGTAATTTCTTGGTTCTTCTCCCTTCTCCTCCCTCCTCCCACGGCCCTGGATAGATGGCAAGCTTCCATGTTGTTTCCCTTGGTCAGTGAGCAGAGATTTTTTATTTTATTTTTTAACATTTCCATGAAGGCTGCAGTTTGTCATGACAATGGTGGAAAAAGCTCTATTAAGTAGTTCCTAGTCTAAGAAATTATGGACAAACTTGTCCATATGAACCAGAGAGTATAGGAGGATATGTACAGATTGAGTACTTACTTGTGTGTCAGGCATTGTGTGAAGAACTGAAAGTTGAAGTTCTTTACAACTTTGGGCTTAACTAGAATGGGTTCATTCCCAACTCCCTTTTCTCTTCTATCCCTTTGGGGCATTAGGATACCAGCTCTAAGCTGTCTTGGTTCTCAAACATTCTGAAGGCCAGGCTTGAACCTTCCAAAGGAGAGATGATTCCCCCTCCCCCCTCCCCCAGCTTTGTTGAGATATAGTTGTCATATAATATTGTTAAGTTCAAGGTGTACAGTGTGATGATTTGATAAACATATACCGTATTTGCCGGCATATAAGACGATTTTTTGGCCCTGAAAAATATGCCTCCAAGTGGGGGGTCGTCTTATACGCCGGGTACACTTCAGATAGACTGCCCATAGTGCTTGCCCCGTGCCATAGTGGCCTCCCGATGCCCGCCCACTTCATTCCACATACC